ATTTTTTATTTTATTTGGACCTCTGAAAAAACAGAATCGTCTGCACTCCTGCCTTCTGGAAGCAAGGAAGATGAGTATATGTTTTAGCCTAGGGACTGACAACCTATGGCCTACTGAACACCCAGTCCAGCCCATTGGGTCAGGGGGCTTTGGGGTCATCTCAGCTGTGGAGGCAGGGAGCTTCACCTGTGCCACAGCTGGCTTGGCAGGGAGACAGTGGTGAGGAGAAGTGGTGGCAGCAGCAGCAGCAGAAGTTAGGTCTTAACAGAAGCCTGTCTAGAAAAAGTTGTTGACTGCTGTTTTAGCCCAACAGCCTAATGGTTACAGCACTCATCCAGGAAGTGGAAGGTTCAGATTTCAGACCCTCCTTGCCTAAAGGGTATTTGAATTTGCATCTCCTCCTTCCCTGAACAGTGCTCTAACCACCACACCACAGATTAGGCATTATCATGCCTCTCTCCTGTATTCCCTATGAAACTGGCCCTCTGGCAATCAGAAAGGGAGATATGTGAGACCAGAAGAATTAAAAAACAAGATAGAGGGCGTGTAGCTTAATGAGATGAATGGGAAAGGCCCCTGGGGTCTTGCTCCTAATGGAGGACAAACTTCTCCACTGCTTTCAATTCATTTCCTCCAATGAGTACTAAATGCAGCTTCACTGCACCCAGAACAGAATGACAAACTGTGCTTAAGTGCCAAAAACTGCATATAGGCAGCTAGGTAGCTGTCATGTAGGGACAGAAAGTAAAATTGGATCTAGCTCTCACTGTCCAGGAAATGTGTTGGACTGACAGTTAATGAAGTCATCTGCCCATAGGATAAATATGACAAATACAAAACTGCAGGTTTCCCTGATATATTTGTGTTTAAACAATATATCTGGTGTCAATTGTGACAAAGAGGAAAGATGCACTGCCGCTCAATAATTCTCTGCTGAGATTTCAAACAGGTTGTCAGTACCAGTGGTTTCTGACAGGGTGGCCTGAGAACATTTACCCTACACAGACCAGACGCCAAGGGCAGACAATCCTCATTACAAATATTCTCATCCAGATTCTAAATACCAGAATTTCCTTACCTTTAGGTAGGAACCATGTTCATCATCATAACAATTATTGTTCTGCGTTTCAGGCAAACCTTCAACCTTCTTAGCTTCTAGGCCAAGAAACCACAGCTCTGCATAGCTTAGAATTTCTTTCTGTTCATAGACTGTTAATTGGTTTCTGAAATATTTCAAGGCTTCTAAATAGGAGAAACAACAACAACAATGGGGAAGATGTGAATCAACTGAGCCATACAATTCTACTGTCATTCTTAAGAAGGGCTTTTTTTAGATTGGTCTCCTTTCTCCCACCCCTACTTCCCTCCACACTGTTTTCTAGCCCCGTCTCCTTGTCCAGCAAATTCCAGTCCCCTCAATCCCTTCTCATGCTTCTGTTTATCTGGGTACTTCAAGCCCTCCACTAACTGGCTCCTAGTCCCAGTCTCTTGTGCCTGTCCTGGTCTTCTTTCCCAACAAGTTTCATTCTTGCTTCCCCACTGTAACTTGCAACCCCAGCTTTCTCTCCCTCTCAGGTAAAGCTTTCTTTGACCCCCAGTTCTCAGTCTTCTTGCCCAGTGGGTCTCATTTCCATTTTCTTTTCTCTTCTCCAGTTCCAATTTAATTATTTCATCTCTGCCATTCAAACCATGTGGCTTCCTCCTCCAGGTGTGCTACATATTAGGCAGGAGGGGCATCCCTGCTTTTAGTTCATGTAACATTTTGTACAAGCTCCCGTAGTGCCCAGATCCACCCTGGCCTGAAGCATTTAGGAGAAGCCATCAAGGAGAAAGTACTTCTGAGCTCTCAAAACCATGGGTTGAACTATGTTCACTTACTCTGTGGGGATGGCACATATGTAGCCTGATCAGCACTAGAAGCTCTGAGAAAAGCAGAGTGGCTGAGGTAGCAGCAGAATCTGTACTGATTTTAGCTGTTAATCACTAGCAAGTCTGTACTGAGTGAGCATGTGTTAACTGCAGTTTATCAAAGGTCAACAACTTAACCAAATTTGTACTTGAGGGCTACTTGATAGAAAGGTCATGCCACAACCCAGTACGAAGGCACTGCTCAAAAGCATTGCGGTAAGGGAGCTTTGCAAAACAGATTGCAAAAACATTTTAACATAGGCAAAATAATGTATTTTCCCAAGCGTCATTCTCAGAAACGTTTGATGTCTGAACCATTCGTGCTGGAAATTCCATACTGCCCCTCTTCTATCCTTCCCCCCCACCCCCAAAAACATCAGGCTACGGGTTCCTAATAGGGACATTCTGAGCCCAAATGGTTAAAGATTGGCAAAGTTATAGTCAACTGAAAATAGTATCATTTAATGAGACATGTCAGTTCATGTTAATCACTGCAGTACAATTTCTGCCAAAAATGGACCTTGAATAACACTTGACTATTTAAACTAGTCTATTTGCTTCCAATATGTAAAAAAAAAAAAAAAAAATTAATTAAAAAAAATCCGGTAACACAACCTTGTTCCCTCTTCCCAAAAGCCTATATAAAGCATTTCAGTGAACATTTACTGCAGTAAGTATTGTGGGCTACTTCAGTTTGTCTAGGATACATGCTTTCTGTCCATACTGTACCTGAAGCTGTCAGAGGGAGCTTGAGACTGGTATTGGAAATTTCTATTTCTGATGTATTTGACTGGACTTTGATATCATTTTCAGGCAGGCTTTCTGCAATGTTAAATCGGGAAAAATGTGGCTGGACTTGAGATCTGTTTTCCTGCCAACCAACAAAGATTTTTATTGTGATTTTTTTTATATTCCCTCATTTTCAGCTCACTCCTCCCACTACATAAAAATCCTACGTGTATCTTACTCACAAGAAAGATCTGAAAGCTCTGGACTTTTTGAGAGATTGCAATGTTTATTTTGCACTGGAAAAGGACAAGGTGATTTGAAGATTACAGTTTTCCCTTTATCCACAAAACAGGTACGGTATGGGCAATAGCTGTGGAAATTTCCAACTGTGTTTATACCATAAACATTTACATCACGTGAGGATGCAGCCCTTGGTCTTTCTGCTAATGGGTATGGGGTGGGGGTGGGGGTGGGAGGCAAGGGGCAAGATGTTCTAAAAGGGCCCTGGCCACCAGCACCTTTGTCTGCCATTTAGACCCATGAATGTTAGCAAACTGTCCTTTCTGTGAGGAGGAGGAGGAGATGATCTTCTGTATCTTCCTAGACTGCCCCAACTGTGTCTGCTCTTTGCCATGTTTAGCACCCACTTTGGCATGCTAGACTTGGACTTCTCTAAGACTATGTATGTTTTCCCTATCCTGTCCCAAGTGGCTGAAAGGTGTGTGATCTCTTAGGCCAATTTCCTGCTGAGCTAGGTCAAGATGACAACCCTGAAGAACTGCAGAAACTGGCTTGCAGGGGCCAGCTCTGATAATGCCCTTCAATTTTTCCAGTTCCTGGTCTGGGCACTAGGGACGTGCGAAACGGGACTTATTTGATTCGGACTCAGATTCAGCCCAAATTGCGGACGGTGATTCAGTTAGTTGATTCAGATCACTGTCCCCAATTTGGTTCAGCCGAATCCGAATCTGAAGATTTGATGCTGATTCAGAGAATCAGTGATTCAGCCATACACACAGTTTTAAATGCTTTTTCTACATACCTTGAGGTAGCAGGCACAGCTCGTGAATGCTGTGATGGTGGGGCAGATGGAGCATCCTACAGGGGCGGTGGGGGGAGTCTGCAGAAATACTTCCAGATCATCCACAGGGGGACCCTGGGTGCCCCCTCAGACCCAGGAGGCACCAATCGCCAAGCCAAGGGCAGGGGTCCCTCGTGCACTCTGCAGCGGACCTGGAAGTGGACTGGAAGTGCTTCTGGTCCACTTTTGGGTCTGCCGCCAAGTGTTCTGGGGACCCCCCCATGCTCCTGTGGGATGCTCCATCCACCCCAGCATCTCAGCATTCAGGAGCCGCCTGCTACCTTGAGGTATGTAGAAAAAACATTTAAAGCTGTGTCTATGTCTGAACCTCCAAATCTCTCCAAATCAATTCAGAGGGTTCCGATTTGATTTGGAGAGCTTAAACGGTCTCCTGATTCAATTTGGATTTGGAGATTCAGTCACCAAATCGGGCTGAATCTCCACCGAATTGAATCAGGGACTGAAGCTTCGCACAGCCCTACTAGGCACAAGTCTCCTTTGAATTTTGATACTTTACCTCGCAACAAAATGTGGACCAGTTCTGCTGGTCCATCAAGGGGGCACTGTGCAGATTGGAAGGTGGACAGCCAGTCCTAAATATGTAACCCCAAGAAGGACACTGGGGAGGGTGTTTTAATCTCTGGTGAAATGGGTGTTTTGTTACTGGCAAGTGTTTCTTGCTTGGCCTGGGGGCGGGGGGGAATACTTTTCCTTTTTCACCTTTTAACTTTTTTTATAGGAAAGGTTTACAAATTCAAAATCTAAATGGTATTTTCCATCTCTGACTTCTGTGACTGCATGATTCACCATCGGCATCTATATTGCTAAGATACAACAAACAGATTTAAAAATCAAGTACAAATAGCAAGCCCTTCGGCTTGTTTTCCATATTGCAATTTTTATGCTGCTTCTAAATTTCTAAGCATTGCAGAAGAAGGGAGGCTATCTTCTCTGCAGCTTCTTAGGAAAGGAGTCAGCAACATACAGCCTGTGGGCCAGATCCAGCCGAGCTACTAGACCTGGCCCACAGAGCTGGAGAGCTTTGCTTGTGCCACTGCTGCTGCTTTCAGTCACCACCCTGCTCCCCCCTGGCTGTGTGCGAGCTCAGTATCCAGCCAGTGGAGGGTTGTGCTGGGCTGGGGAGCTGTAAATTGCATCCACACTGCAAATTGCTCACTCCATGCTGCTTCTCTCTGCTCACTCCCACCCCCCTGCCTCCCAGCTGCTCAGGGTGCAGAAACTTCTTGTTATGCTTTTGGGAAAGGGAATCACCAATTTTAGATTACAGATTTAATCTGCATCACAAAAAAGAGGAATAAAGAGACCTGTGATAGGGGAAAGAGAAAGAAGAATGAGAAAAGGAGGATGTTGCTGGGTTTCTAAAGGCCAGCAGTAGAGAGAACTTCCAAAAGTTCGTGTCACTTCAGGGAAACATTACAACTTTTGAGGGCATTTCCAGATCAAGGTGCCAAACCTGAGGTGTTTGGCCTTCACTGACACTTTCCTTAAGATAGAGCTATGCCAGCGAAAGTTACAAACTGAAGGAAATATATACAGTAATTTATCTACAGATGTGTGCACACACACACATACACACAGACAGATTGCTTGTTCGCAGAGTTTTGGGTCAACACTCCAAATTTGCACCACAATACTATTTCATCTCCAACACACATGGATCACCATTCTCCTTCATCACTAAACTTTTAATTGGAAAGGGGAGATGTGGGGTCATCTACACACCACCTACCATGGCCTCAGTGGATCGGCACACTACAGTTTAGAAACCACTGATATTTAGAAACCAGTGATAGAAACTCACTAATTAGATTCCTTAAACATCCACAGGTCCATTAGAAACAAAGAGGTTAAAAAAACCCAGGGGAATATGAGACTAGATGATGTTCTTTAACTTACATGCAGTGATGTATGTGCATTCTGTAGATTCTTGTGTGCTATCTGAGGAAGGCTCCTGTCTTGAGGATGAATTTTAGCAGCACTTGCAATCACACCATGCCTGGCATGGCCTTCCAGATGAGGGAGTGAACTAACACTGCTATTGAATTTCTAAAGTAAAAATAAAACAAATAACATAATAAATGACAAATTTTTGGGGTTTTTTTTTTAAATAAATAGCTTAGGTTGAAGGCCTGAGCTCAGTTATTTATGGTATTTTTAAAAATAATTTGTCAGAATATATTTTTAAAATATGTTCAAGACGAAAATTATTAACAGATAAACAGGTACTGTATAACACAAGTAGATTTTGTTATGGATTTATATTAAAAGTTTCCATGAAATGATCTGGTTTCAATTCCTCAACTGTTATTTTTCAAAACGTGCCTCTTCTAAATTGAAAATTTCCTATATGTTATCAGCCTCAATATTTTATTTGTTGAAAAATTTGAGAAATTAATTAGTTTTGGAGCCAAACACAATACATCTTTCTTATTATGAATAAAATGTAGGTGCTTTTTATCCACACACAACTAAAAAGTGGATGCAACCTATACTTTGAAATTTTCAGAAGGGATAGACTATTGGAGCAAGTGCTGTGGGATGGGGGAACCTTACTTAGAGCGGCTTTCAGGAGCCGCTCTTATTAAAAGTGTCCATAGACTCTCATGTATTCAGTGTCCCACTGCTCAAAATGGAGGTGGGGGTGCTTTAACGAAAGCTGATTTGACAAGCTCTAGTTAAAGCTCCTCTGCCACCATTTGTGATAATTAGCATTAATTGAGACTGTTCCAATGCACTGTAATTATAGCATGTCAGAGCAGGCATCCTGCATGTCCACAGGCACCCTTGAAGACTAGACCCTTTCATTATCTATGAAACATTTCCAGATCATACGTGTTTTCAAGTCAGTTATTTATGTGGGTAGTGGTAATCTTTATGAAAGCTGGGAGGCAATATTATTTAGCATCCAGAAGACAATATCCTCTTTAATATATGCAAAGAAACCTTTCAAGGTAAAAAAACTTCTTCTGTTGAATGGTACCGATGCAAAAAATAGGCTCAAATCCCGGAACAGTTGGTTTGCGTGCTCCTAGCGGCCAGACCAGAACCTCACGTTCCATACTGAAATCTTCATGACCCAATGGCAATTTTAAGCTCTTAACAGCAGGAAGTCTGATTCTGGATTAATTCATGACAATTGAGTTTCAGTAGTATTTTAAAAAACAGACAAACAATCCAAACCAGTTGAACCTGACCCCCGTTAAAGGAGCATATTTTCTCTTTTGTAGGAAATGCTATGGAAGGGTCTGAAAATTCTTAGAGTTGAGGCTCATGGAGATCTCCATGGGCACGTCTACACAAGACATTTACTGCGGAGCTCGCTAATTAGCTCCACAGTAAAATGTCACCATCTACACATGTGACCCTATTACATCGCAGAAGACTAATAAATAGCAACTCAGGGTAGTCCCCTATGGTGGCATTGTTTCATGCACTGCAGCACATGTGTAGACAGTGACAGGGATAGCTGGGGCATGTGAGTGCTTCAGCACAGGGGCTGCCTGCCAGCCAGCCTTGCAATGGAGCACCTTCATGCCTCAGCCAGCCCCGGGCTGGCAGGCTGCTCCAGAGGCTGCTGCGGAGTAGACCTGGGTCCCCCTGCCAGCCCAAGGCTGCTCTGACTGGGCTCCATGTGCTGTGCACAAATAAACTCCAGTGCAACGGACTCTAGAGTTTATTCGTGCACATTATTTGCATGTGTAGATGAACCCCATGAGAACATCCTGCAGGAGGGAAGTCTGTTTATCCCACAATGAACAGAGCATATAGCTCCAAAATACTGATGAACAGCTAGTGGGAGCACATAATACTCACAGCTGCTAGGCACAAGTGACACAGCTGTAGGGAGGAAGGTATGAAATATTTTTTTTTTAAAAAGAGGGGTATCCTGCTCTCACCCTCATGGGACCTCTGTCTGATCAGGTTTCTTACACTTGGGTGGATCTCCTGGAAAACAAGCATTAGGATATTCTTTAAAATTAACTGAAGATTCCTGTACCTGACGGAAGACTTTGTTAGATCCCAGACGATTGCTCTCTTGTGTTGGCAGCCGGGACTGAGAAAATGCATCTACTTGGGAAGACTGAAAAGATGATGGGACATGTTATTTCATAAAGACGATTCTAAAAAAATGACACTGCAAGATTTTCAATTTTGCTGGCTCCATTAGCACTACACTGAGTGCAGCTACCTAATCTATCATGAAAATGTAATGTAAAAATGCAATGTAATATTCTATTTACTCCATTAGATTGGCTTAGAAAAATGGCACAGATGATCATTTTAGCAGTAATCGTGCTTAGGTAAAACAAGCGGGCAGACTGCGGAGTGGCTAATAGCTTTTTTATTCTGCTGGGATTTTACCTGTGTTTTTATAAAAAAGAACAATCACTTCCATGGTAAATGCAACTATGATTGTAAACTTCTATTTGATACCACACTTTGGTTATATTCCCACTATGGACTGGATGTGTCCTTGGAACAAGATAAATTAGTCCCCTGCAGAGCTTCAGGCTGTTGCTGTTATGCTGCTTCTGGCAACCTGCTATCACCATTTTGTAAGAAAATGGGAATGCAAGAAGCAAAATCACATTAATATGATCACAATTCAACATCTCTGACTTTCACTTGCAGGCAGTTTGTCTAATATCCTATTTTTTTCATCCAGGGCAAAAGAATGTCACTGTCAGAATTGATTCACCTAGCTCAATGGTGGATGCTCTTGCAACATAATTGAGCTCCTAACTTTTTTGAGCAACTTATCCTGTTTATGAGACTATCTGCACTTGTACCAGCCAGTGCCCATGGCCTTTCATGCAACTGCCTCCATTCTGTCCAGCTGGACAGTGGGATATGCCTACAAACTCAGAGATGGGAGTTGGCAGCAAACATAGCCCTATTGTGGGATAGAGTGGGCACAGTGAAAAGAGGTGGACAGTGATGTGCCAGTATCCTGTACACATGTTCATAAAGATTTCAATCATGTCATTTAAAAATAATATTGTACCGGCAATAAGGCAGAGGTACCCTGCATCACAGAGAACATGCCACTAGGAGGTCAAATGTCTCCCAAGAACACACAGGGGACAGCTACATGTGCATTTTATTGTGACTGTGTACAGACTAATTAGCTCTGCAGTAAAGCATCACTGTTTACACCTGCAGCACTATTAGGTCAGAGTAAACGAATTAACTCCACTGTAGAATAGTACTGCTTGACACAAGTACTATCCAATGGTGGAGTTATTTAGTGTGCTGCAATGGATGTCTAGAAGGTGACCTGCCAGCTAACCCACATTATAACACCCTTGTGCCCCAGCGAGCCCCTCCGCAGCATGCTGAGCCAGGGTGGAGCAGCTCTGGGCTGGCAGTCTGACCCCCAGACCCACTGCCAGCTGGGGCGATGCTCAGCTTGCTGTGGTCCCAGGTGCATGTGTACACACTGAGCCCAGGAGCAATAAACTTGGCCATGAACTGCACTGGAGTTTATTTAACTGTGTCAACTGTATGTAGATGTGCCCACAGAGACAGCATGTCTGCCACCGTACTGCAGTGCAGCTTATTTTCCCCTGAGCTGTCACTATAAGGGGAAGATGAAGCCAAATAATTTTTCTTATACCGTCTCTTTTCTCCACTCCCTCACTTTTTAAACATTTTATTGTTCCTTTCACTTTATTGTATATAATGGTAGGTTGATCCCATGTGATAGAAATGGGTCAGATCTTCTAAATATATATATATTAGGAGACTGAACTTCCAGTACTTATTTGTGCTCAGCAGTGCAGGGGCTTTCTGCA